CTGGGCAGTCTCACCTAAACTCCATCCACTCCGACAATCCTTTAATAACTCTGGCTTTTCCTTTGTTGGTGAAATTCCTACCTGCAGTATACTTTTCCTCATTTGCAATGAGTCAGTAGACTTGACTTTGTTGCAACTACAGGTTTGTCTTCCGTGGGCTAGAATAGCATCCATTATATGAAAAAAACCCAAAATTATCTCCTGTGCATCTAGAATAGAATTAGTGGTGTGCAATGTGTGGGAGAATTGTTTCCTATGTTCAGTGGTCCAGATGAAGAACCACGGTTGAAAGGCTAACAGCAGTGTTTGAGCCCATGCTGGCTTCCGTTCCATCTCTGTGTGTAACATTTGCATTGGTCCACAGCCCAGTTCAAATGTCTCTTCCCGTGAGGATTTTACAGGGCCCTCCGGTTTGGAATTCACCTTTCTCCACTGTTCCTCTCTTGAACCACCCCCTCCCCCAGGCTGTATTTCAAATTCTTCAATTTTTCTACTGCTGTGCCCTCCTGACTAGCTTGAGAAAGACAGGGGCCAAGTCTCATTGATTATATCCCTAGCTCCAGGCAGGGTATCTGGCATGGAGAAGAAAAAAATCGGTGAATGTTTGTGGAATTGGTGTGAGAAAACTGCTCTTTTGCTCCTTAAGAAGTGTCTTATTCTGTGTCAACAGCCTCCCTCTCCAAACATTCAGTGTGCTGACCCTAAGCCAGTTGCGTCCGTCCTTGTCATGAACTGCAAGATTGGTTACCCCATACTCAAGAGGTCATCTGTAAGTCTATCCTGACTGCTGGGTCTTCTCGCTACCCTGGAGCTGGTGTTATCTACATCCCGGTCTCTTTCGAGTCTCTGACTTGTGGTCTCTGTGCTTCCCTTTACTGAAGTCAACCCCTGGCTGTGCTCAGAACTGCTAAATTTACTCTGAAAGGAAGGATTGGTAGCGGGGTAGTTTGAGTATAGAGCCACAGACAGTGTTGGCTCATCCCAGGGAAGCAGAATGAAGTTGGGGAGGGGCATCAGGCCAAATTCTTTGTGCTGCAGGAAACCTTCACAGTGGTTTCCTAAACTATAGAAGGGGAACCAGAAGCGGAGCAATGCTGCTCACTCCATATTTGCATGGTGAAGTGCACATGAAATAATGGGATGATGTGTGGAAGTATGTTATGCTACAGAAATGTGAGGAATCTAAGTTATGTTTCTTATGTCCACTTAATACTAAGCAGTTGTAATTGTGAGTGACAAAGAGAGGAATCAAGTGACCATCTTTCCCCCTTTACAATAGGTAAATATGTCAGTAGTTTGGCAGCTGGAGGAGAGTATCTTTCCAAACAGAACAGCAGACATCACTGTGACCATCGGCAAGTAAGTAGTGCCTGTGTTGCAGCAAACACAGGCTGTTTTCTTGGAAATCTCTCCTGACAGCCAGCACCAACCAAATGCTGAGAGCTACAGGGAGAAGAGGAACCTCAGTGGGTCCACAGAAGTCTTCTGTATCCCCACAGTGACATCATATTATCAGATATTTAAAATACTCTTTTATTCACACAAAGTAAAACTATGGTATAGTGGGGTGGAATGAACTTTGAACTAGATTTCTGGTTCTCGTTTATTTAACTTTGGAATAACTGCAAAATCTCCACGTTTAGAGGTTTTAAGACTCAAGCAGGGGTGGTTCTGTTCCCAGAGGCAATGCCTGGAGACTTTTGTTTCACTGTGTAGCCCAGGCTGGCCTTGACCTTGTGGTAATTCTTCTGTCTCAGCCTCCTGAGTGCTGGGCTTCTAGGCGGCACCACCACATCCGGTTCCTGGATTTTTGTCATGATTTAGGAGGTGCCTCGGTTATCTACTAGATAGAGATGAGGGATGCTGCTAAACAATGTACAGACAATTTAAAAAACTATCTGTCCCCAAATGTCAATAGTGTGGAGTCTGAGAACAATCTTTAAAAAATCAATCATTTCTCTAAGTGTGGTCTTCTAGTGATTATTTTGCACTCTATTGCATATCTAAGAATTTTCTTAATCTAACACCCCTTCCACGTCCCCATGATCCTAGGAAGCCAGGCTATAGAAGCAACTGTTACATATACAGCTGTGAACTAATTTTATTTCCAGTTCTAATGGAAGATCTTTGGCCAGAAAGACCCACAATCTTCAATTCCGGCATGCCTTCATTGCAGCTCTCTCCAAGTAAGTACTCCCAAGGCACCTGTATGACCGCCATGCACAGAGGACAACTTCAGGGAGTCCCTCTTGTGGGAGGAAACAGCAGTCAGGGTAGATATGGGCAATGTTCTTCTCTAAGATGAGGCTGCTTAGAATCCAAGCTCCAACACTGATCGCTAGAGCATGAGTTGCTTCTAGAAACCCCATAATGGTCATCAGAGCAGTACCGACTGGTCTTGCTACAAAAGGGAATTGATGTGATGCTATAGAGGAAAAGAAGGGCTGTGGGATTGGGAAGTAAGGAGGGAAAAAAGTAATGTTACTGTGAAGACTGCTAACTAGAAAATGAACTTGCCCAACTATATGCATTGCAAATACCCCACCTCACCCACTCTCTAGACATTCAGCTTTGATCCCTAGTAAGGACCTGGTACCCTTGTCCTAGTGTATCCAATTGGAAGCATTCAAGCCCACTCAAAACATGAAGAGAACCTTGGGGCTAACACATGTCCTCTCAATTGCAGATCATCAGTGATGTACATGAACACAAGCCGGGGGCTTTCTGACCATAAAGAATTCCTTTTCAATGTAAGCACTTAGTCCATGCAAAATTTACGTCTATACATTTGGCAAAGAAGCATGAGCTTTGACTTCTTGCTCCGATTTTTATTTGGCAGATACATGGAGAAAACCTCTTTGGAGCTCGATTCCAGTTGCAAATTTGTGTACCAATTAAATTACAAGGTGTTGAGGTTGTAAGAGTGAAGAACCTGACAAAGATTCAGGTACTTAAAAGACAATTCTTTATTATGATCACATCTCTTTTCATATCAACTATGGATTCTCAAAGGTATAAAACTACAGCTTTGGGTGCATGCCTCTGATCCTCCTGAGTGCTGGGAGGCTAAGGCAGTAATGAGTTCAAACCCAGACTGGGCAATTTTTAACTTAGTGAGACCTTGTCCCAAAACAAATTAAAAAGAGGCCCAGTACTATAAAATCTAGACATTTAGCAAAGTAAAAAACAAGGTTAACCATGAGAAAATTTAGAAGTTACCAGTCATGTCTAGGAGGAATATCAACCACTCAGATCTGGTTTTCTTCTTGACAAAAAATAAGCAAAAATTCAAATATTAGTAACCACGGAGAATTTCTCCTTTAAAAATTGAGAAATCCTGCTCTGTTTCTATGTACCTGGTGAGTGAGCCTGGTAAACATGACATTTCATACCCTTATAGTTTACTTTGCTTTTTTATCCCTCTAGTTTCTTTCTTGGTCTCTGCTTTGCTACAGTCTGTTTTCAGTGTTTGGTCTCTTCCTCTGGTTTCCAAAGCCAGCTTTGAAACCTAAAGCAACAGGATCAGTGTAACTAATGCCTGGGCTGCACCCTGCTGACAATTAGAGGATTTGTAAGTCACAAACATTTGTTCTCGTATGCAGTTTATTCACTGATTTTTTTTCTTTGAACCTAAGATTCCTCTAATGGCTTAACTGTGGATGTAGACAAGTATTGACAATATAATGCACATAACATTTTGGTGCCATGCATAGCACATCAGTGAAGGAGCTGATGCGACACGACCTGATACAGACCAATTTAGAGTATGTCCTCTAAATTGTAATTTATTTTTAAGAACATTAACAGCAAGTTCAATCATTTCAACAAACTTTTTTTTTTCCATTTGAAAACAAAATTGTTTGAAAAGCTGATTGGAAACATGTAAGAATGGGAACTCTACCTTTACCGTGCTCTAGGGATGGAGACTGAAAACAATACCGGAGGTTTTAAGACCAGTGCCCTGACTTTGGGGCAGTAAGACACATTTTTGCTTACTGAAACAGACTGTGTTGGCAAAGCAGGTCGGTGGCAGAACTGAAGTTAAGCACTGTCCTATAGAAATGCTGGATTTTTTTCTTCATTTGCTTCAAGGCAGGGGTGTTATATTTTCTCTTAAAGGTCATATGATTCAGGATCTTGTCTGTGAGGTAATGTAGCCAGAGCACATTATTATAAGGGTGATATTCACACCAGCAGTTGTTGTTCTCTTTTCTCATAAGCCTGTAGATTTCAAACTGGTAGTCACCTTCACCTGTAAATAGGTCTTCATCCATAGAAATGTCACAGAAAACCACAATTCCATCCCGCTCCAAGCGTGACAGGGTGTAGTCAATGATGTTGACTTGCAGCCCATGGGTAGGGATTGTGCTTGTCTTCCCATTGAGGGTGTAGTGGAGCTCTCTGAGGTGGGTTTTCTTTAGGAGCACATTCCCCCAGTGTAAGTCTCGGTGCTCAAAGTGTAGTGATGCCTCAGCCACTGCAAGGGATGCTGTGATCTGGTGTAGAATGCTCTTTGCAGTAGCTATGGAAGACAACTTTGTTTTCATTTGCTCTAAGTCAATCCCACCAAACTCAAATTCCAATATAATGAAGAGTTGGTCTTCCTCAAAAAAGTCGGGCCGGTCATTTGCAGACCCCTTGGTTGAGTTATAGTGATCCCAGGCTTTGAGCAGTAAGGGAGGGTAAGAACCTTGAACACAATGCACTGAGTTCAGCCCAATAAAGCCTTCTGTATGGTTGTACACCTCACCAGACAAGAGGCTCAACTCTTTGGAGATGATGATCTCTGGTAGGATTTCCTCAAAGGTTTTCTGATGGGATCCATTCACTAAACCTGCTCCTTCAATAGCAATGATTTTTAGAGCTACAGGTATGTTATCAGTAATTGTTTGAAACACTTCACCAAACACCCCTTCCCCAATCTTCTCACAACGTTCTAGTTTTTCTGAGGAAAGGCAGTAACTAAAGGGGATAGGGCCTTCCTGATTGCATTCCCCATAAACCTTTTTAGCATCAGATGCCTTTTTGTCTCCAACACGTGGACTCCTTAAAGGGCTTAGCAAATACATAGAAGAGGAGTGCCAAGGGTCTAGAGCACTATTTGTTCTATTCATGGTAGAGAGGCTTGAATTTTCTGAGATGAGGGACCCAGACAGAGAACTGGCAACGGTATAGCTGCTGCACCCCTCTGATATATCAGTCACAACTTTCTTTTTGTGCAAACTGAAGGAGGCCTTGGTTTTAACCCAAGAGCAGGCCTGAGAAGTCAGGTCCTGGGAGAGGAACGAATCCTTCCCCATCTTTTGATCCTTTTTTAAATTGTGGTAATGGATGACAGAGGTTTCCACTTGTTGATGTTTCCTTTTCTGGCTTAGCCCAGTTCTCTTAGGTCTGTTGATTTTCCTAGATACAACTAGGCCCTTGCAACCACTGGCCTCCTCACAGTCTTTCCCGATGGCTCCCTGAGACCCCAGCTTTTGAAAGGAGGACTGGTCTGTAGTCCTCTTCTTACCTGTGCTTCTTAGACCTAAGCTTTCCAGCCTGTTTCTTGTCAGTTGTCTTTTACAATGCGACTCCCTCATATTTTTCTCATCTGTCCCAAACTCCGAATCCTCTGGGTTTTCTGAGTCCATAAGGCTAAAGGGCGCTGACCTCAGGCTGGCACGAGCTCTGTGGACCATCCTGTTGAACCCACCTCCTTTTGATGCTTCCTGGGAGGAGGGGACAGATGCCTGGCCCTGTGAGGCAGCCGGGACGTGGAAACCGCTCGTGACAGTAGAGGCCGCATCTGGGGAGGCAGAGGAGCCGATGGAGATGATACTGTCCCGTGGCACGGGCGGTCCGAGGTCGGTCGAGGCCGGGGCGCTGAACAGGGAGGCACTGGTGCCCAGCTCCTCGCCGTCCCTGGGCGGGCTGCTCACGCTGAGGTCCGGGCTGAGGCGATCCAGGTGGCTGCTGGGGAAAGGAGGTGGTCGGAGCGGGTCACACGGTGTGCTGCATTTTTGCGGCGGCCGAGGTCGCAGCCTCATGCGTCTCGGGGTCTCGGCTAGCGTCGGCCGGCCCTTGGAAATTCTGCCGCCAGGACGCCTCCGCCGTCGGCCGACCGGGCTGCAGGGGAAGTCAGGGTCGTCAGGATCGTCGGAAGCAAAAGACTGTGAGGGGCTGCTGCTGTTGGCGTCGCTGCTGCTAAACAAATGCTCCTGCTCCTGAGGCGGGAACCACCGCGCGGC